ATTATTAATTAGCCTATCCAAAGGAAAGGCCCTTACCCCCTCGGAAAAATTTAGAACCCCATCTTTATTATTGTTTAATATTACATGTTTTCGAAAACGAATTTGGGCCATCACTGCACTCTTAGCATCCTTGTCACTCTTACCTTCCAACCATTCATCCATCTCACTCACAGTGGACCACAACCCACCACATTCCATTAATTCCTTAGTTGTTTTCTCTTTTCGTACTCGCTCCCTTACATCCTTAGCATCACTAGCTTCTCTTTTCTCCCTCAGCTTCTCATCACGTAGATGTTGGAGCCTTGCTTTTCGTTCTAGAGCCCGATCCCTTTGGATTTTTTTGGAAACTCTTGCTCTCTCCATAACCTCTGCATACCTCTCCTCACTCAGCTTATCTCTCCATCCACTCACATCATTTTTCTGCATCATCATCATCGATTCACACGCAATCAGGTGCGCACTGGGTTTCTGAGCTATCACTCTATCTAGCAAACCAAAATCTCTCTCCACACCAACATTAGATGTCGGGACACTTGCTGTCTCCCGCACTTTACTCTCATCCATGGTGTGGTGTTCACCTCCTTCCAGATGATCAGCTAAAAGCTTACGCATAACCTTCTGGAAAGAGGCAAACAACACCTCTAGGGCTTGCTTGGTCCCCCCATCGAATTCCACACTCTCTTTCACCAACAACTCATACACATCATCCTTCACAACATCAACATCCTCAAACAACACTGCCTCACCTCTCAGAAACCCAGTTGCATCCTGCGACCAACGACCAAAACATTCCAACATTCTCTCATATCGTCCACTCATCTCCTGAACATGACCGGCACCCTCTATCACTCGCCAAATTGGTCCGGTGACAATTTTATCTACCAGACCTAGAGCACGGGCTCCACAAATAAAAAGAGAGACTCCAACATCTGCATGAATGGCCTTCGTCAAAAGATTATCATCTTTGACCCTTTCAAAAAAAGCCCGCAATTCTTTTGAAAGAGCAAAGACCCCAGCACCATTGTGAAAGATAATATTAAACCTATTACCTTTAAATGGAGCTAGGGGAACTGTAGTCCTACCATAAACAGAACTAAGGAATGTCCGGAATGCAACAGGTTTCCCACTTTTCTCACACCCTCTATCTTGGACACACTTACATACCGTCCTAATCATACGCACTGTCCCACTCTCTCCCCCCTTTACGTTTAAACACTGCAAAGATGCAGCACCTCTCTTTTCTTCACCCATCACAACCTTTTCCCACACAGACAAGCTTTCGTTAGCTTGATCGGCAAGTCCCACCAAAAAATGAAGGCCGCAAAAAAACTCATTTAATTTAGCTATTTTAACTTGCTCTGCTTCATTTAATCCATCCCAACCATTAATTACATTAGGTAACACCTCCTCCCTATACTCCTCTAACAACCTATTAAATTTATGCTGAGTTGCACACCTATCACTCATTACATTCTTCACACTAGCAACAATTCTCTCCACACCCTCCCTGCCATATCCCTCTATGCTCACCACCTCATCCAAAATATCTTTCAGCACATCCAAAGCTGACTCAGCTGAACCAGAGGCTGTTTCCCTCACACCGAGCAATAGCGTCTTATTATTTAAATTTATGTCATAAGCAAGATAATGGTGGCCAAATTTTGTTGTGCCATCACTGCACAAAGTAGTGTTAACAGAATTTTCAACTAATAATTCATCTATTATATGTATGTGAGCCAAAGCCTCTACCCCCATCATCTTTTCCAAGACCATTCGCACAATTGCTTCAACATTACGAATCCCTACACCTAATTTTAGGAGCTCAATATATACATCTCTTACATTATTTGTATACTTACCTTCCTGAAATGTGTTTAATTTATGGTCAACAGTGACCTTATTTAAACTTTCCTCTAACTCCATATTATTATTTTCTAAGACACTTATGTTAGAATTTAATTGTGAATTTTGCTTTTGCAAGTTCACAATTTTACATTTTAAACTGTCATCCACTATGACACCTTTTTTAAGCACCCTTTTAGCTGTCTTCCTATACTTATTACGTTGCGACTGTAAATTTTTAATTTTTTTACACTGCTGTTGGATGACATTTTCTAATTTAGTTTGTTTATTTAGCATTATTTTTTGCATTTCAGAAAGGTTTGTATTAGTTTCCCTTTCTTTTTCAAGCAATTCCCTATCTTCTTTTAACATCTCACTACGAACATTACTTTTTACTATCTCATTATCTAGATCAGCTTTTAAATTCCTAATTATTTCTTTCGACTCTACATTAATTTTTTCAAGTTCTTCTATTTTAGTTTGTTTACGTTGTTCCCTTCTTCGGGAATTCTTAATGTTATACATGCTAATTTTAGCTTGCATTTTTGCAACAGTATCGCAACTTTCAGAGTATTTTAATTTTATTTCCTCTAACTCATTATGTAACATCTCTCTCTCCTTCTCACAATTTCCCATCCTCACTTCAAAATCAGCTTGTCGCGCACTCCATGCTTCAACTTCATCACACAACTTTGCATTCTCATTTTTGTAAACACACAACTCATCCAAAATTATTGAAAGGTCATCACTTCCATTGTCAGGGTGAGGAGGTTGAGTCACTTTTTTCTTACTTAACACAAACACCTCAGACATGTACTCTCTCCTCATTTTACCTGACAATGAAGCAAGACCTTTCATCATTGAAGTAGTGCAATGATGCATCATCATTTCAGATGCATCTTCGTCTACCTCAAAAAAAGTTGAAATTAATTTAAACAAGTGGGCATATTTGCTACCTCCTCGACATTCCTCCTTTATTACCCTTAACAATTCCAGGACTACCCCATTAACTAGCTTATTAAGACTTGCTTTAATTATTGGTACGTCGATTTCCTCACCCATTATTACTTTTATTACAGACTCTCTGAAAATATTTAAACTAGTTAGAAATATCAAAGAGTCATTGACATTGGGATAGAAACCATGAACTACTTCATGTTCCTTCCCATTTGATACTGCAGGACAGATCGTTTAAAACTACGGTATGCTGGCCTACCTTCAAAGTATTTAGTTATCACCCCGTCATGGTCTAGCCTAATTAATGAATAAATGACCAGGGCATCTTCTCTGCCTTCCAACTCCCCTGAGTTTAGAAACCCCCTAATTAAATCTATTATATCCTTAGCCAACCCATATGTAACTCTATCTATGCCTACACACCAATTATCTAAAGTTTCATTATTTAGAATGAAGTTTTTTAAAGCTAAAATCGACATTATTAATTAATTATTAATTAATTTTATAGTAAGAAAGTTTTTTGCTAACCTAACGTGAAGACGTTACACGAAAAGGCCGCACTGGAAATTCCTGTTGAAAACTTTCGGTTCGGTTGAATCCTTCAGCCAATCAGATGCATTATACGAAATCAGTCATCCGTGAAGGCCGCGTTTGTGATGAAAGCCTGAAAGCGATTCGCTAAAAATGACATCATGATGTGTATTGATATTTTTGTATGTGAGCCCGTTAAAATTGTTCAAAAATTCCTTCAAAAATGATATTTTTTAGGGTAAATGTGCATTCACTACGCTGAAATAGAATTTTAAATGCCTCAAATTTGAAAAAAACCGTTTTTTCAGCACTTAAAAAAAAAAGTGTGCAGAGTGAAAAATACATAACATAAAGAACTATTTTTTCAAGCGTAGGAAAAAAAAAAAAAAGTTAGGTTATGAGGGGCTCACATACAGAAACCCGGATGAAAAGCGTAGGTCCTGGACCATTGATGGTTTTAAGCCGTAGAGGGACTGGACGCACTCGACGTGATCTCTCTCTTCAACCGTAATATTCACATAGTTGTTTCGTTGTTTTGGATATAAATATTCGTTGACATTATGGATTGATAGGTAAATAAATAGACAATCAAAGTAATTTTTCTAAAGATCATTTATTAAAATGAGTAATTAGTAATTAAAATTGTTTATCAACTGCAAGAAACACCGCGTTAGTGCAGTGCGTGCCTAGTGACGTACACGCGCAGAATGAATGTGGCACACACAATGGAGTGAGCTCTCGGACTCCCTAATAGGAGGCATTTTTCGTTTTGACTACGCGCCAGTCTACTACGAACTAATGGACCGTGACGGCAACGCCAAGACACTGTTCGCGTACTACATCAAGAGCTGTTTTCGTTTTTTTAAGGCGACTACGACGACGCAGCACACGTACGTAGGCCTACGG